GTTTGTAGGTGACCAAATACTTTTTCTTTTCCACCATTATTTGCAAAAAAATTCTTTAAAAGTCAGACAAAATGATTTTCTCAAATTTTTTTTCACATTTTGTCTCTCATAGTTGAGGTCTCCCTATGATGTCAATTACAGGCCTCTCTCATCTTTTTAAGTGGGAGAACTTGCACAATTAATGCCAGAGACATCTTCTTACTTGGCCACATGTCTGCAATGTCCTGTTGGAGTGTGACATAATTTGTGCGACTGTGATGGATTGTGCACTAGTGTCAGAATGGTATATATTTATACTTCTCATCCACAGATAAATTCACTCCATCCAGGATGCACAATTTATCTGAATAGTTTATTTCTTCATATTAAGCTGGAATGAAAACAAGCCAAAAATAAAATAGGAGTAATGATTTTCTACGTCTTACCTTTTAAAAAGTGTAAGGAGTAGAAAGTACATATAGGTGTGTAAAAATGTAAGGAGTACAAGGTTGAAAAATAATTACTCAAGTAGATAACCAAATTTTCTACTTAAGTACAGTAACAAAGTGTTTGTACAGTTACTTTACAACTCGGATTAAAACATAAATCAAAGCTTCTCTTTGAACTGTAAACACTTTCCAAAAAATAAACAAACAAGCAAAAGCAAATGCACTTTAGACAATTCCACTTCCCATTCAGACAGTTTTCTCATTTAAAGAAACTGAGTGTGGTGATCATTTTCTTATCCATGAGGTGTAGCACAACTAAGTTTTGTCCTGAAGAGTTTGATTAGGGTTAATTCAGTTAACACTGCAGGGTATGCAGGTTCACTGTCTTGTTGTCTCTGATGTCATTTGACCTCTCTTTAGACTTGCTCTTTACGGTGGAGAGATTGAATTGGAAGAGATTGATTCTGTGGACTGCTGTGCTTTACAAGCAGATTTAGTTGAGATCAAAAGTGTCTGAGATTGATTGGTTAATTGACTGGTTGTCATCTTTGTGCCAAATTACACTTATTTCTTAATGATTTGAAAATATAGGACAGGAGGGCAGGCAGTCAGGAACTCAACATTGTTTTTATCAACTTCTTCTAAAAAGTAGAAAAAAATCTCACTTTTCACTAAAACAATATCACAACAAATTTAGAAAATCTAAAATATAGATGTGACTGCTACACGGGCTCTATGGAGTGTTTTGATTAGCATCAGGTTCCAACAGTCCTGAAGGTGCTGCCTTTGTGGAAGTGATAAACACAAAACTGTTCAGTTGCAAACTACTGAACGTTTTTCAAAGTTGTTGGTAAGAAGAACAATCAGATAAACTCAACAAATCTGCCAGAGTTTACCTGCACATCTTGGATGTGAGAGGAAGAGTAATATTATGAGAAACAAAAACAAACAAACTAAAAAGGTGCATTAAATTGGATGTTAAAATCTCATAAATGGTTCAAAAGTGCTGCAGAAATCTCAGCGTGCCCTGTGAWATCAACAAAACACTGTGCAGCAGGTTTTTATTGTTTTCTACTAAGCAGGAGATAAGTTTGAACAGCATTATTCTGGTCTTTTGGAGTCCTAACTCACCTCTGTTTCAGTTCATTGAGACCGTTAGCAGCCGACAATATTAATATTCATTCTCTACCAACATATTTTGGGACTAAGTAAATATCTGTGTGACAACGTRAGCACACTCATTGATGTAGCTTGGTTTGCAACAAACACCTCCTTTCTTACGGTTTCTGGCATTCTTCTCTGTGATTATGGATAACTTTAGTTAATTTGTAAAATGTGTTTTTTTTTTTGTATGAGTTATCAGATCAAATTGGGCAAAGCTGGAAGTAGTTTATAATTATAACTACATCATTTGATGCACTTGAGAGTTTAACAGGCAGCTTGTTTTGTTGAAGGGGACACATCATGCAAAATCCACTTTTAGAGCCATTATTGTTTGGACTTTATATATTTGGAGTCAATATTTGGAGTGCAGAAAAGTTAAATTTAGTCTGCTGCAAAGATATCTGTATAGTTTTTTTTCTGTTTGGGTCATGTTTTTCAACCCATTTTGTTGTCTTAAGG